CAAGAGGAATCCGCCGTCGTCTTCTGGTGGAAATGACCTTCGAATCTCTTCAACAAACCCTTTCACTCGAAGTGGAAGTGAGCTTAACAATTATGAAACAAGAGAGTCCTCGAAACCCAACTTTTCTTCGCATCTACTGTAGCTTTCTTTCCGACGCTGTCTCCAAGACAATCGCCTTCGCTTATGACGAAAAAGTATTAAGATTTCGTATTTTCTATCACGGACATCATCAAAACAGTTATTCATTCTAACAATCATACTCAGGCTAAAGAATCAAGAAAATTTAGCCTGGCTACTTGTAGACGAAACATTAGCCTTGCGCGCTTTCATTGGAATCGAAAGTAATTGTCTCGTTGACAACGTCAACTATAATGTTCCATTGAAGCCAATCAACATCTGGCCAAGAGTAATCTACCGTCGTTTTATGGTGTGATCGACCTTAGAAACCTTTCATCTCATACTTTTGCTCGTAATGGAAGTGAGCTCAAGAATGATAAATAGACAGACCACTTGAAACACGACTTTACTTCGTTTAATCTATATTAAATGGTATGCATGACAACCTCCTGAAACTTGTATAATATAGAAGAATGCATTTTTCACACTATATTTAAGCGCATTTCTCGCCAACTGTCGAGTGAAAAAACAAGAGTTCGAGTTCTACACGTGCCAAAACTTCCGTCTTCACAACAAAAGTCCAATTAGTCATTAATAGGCCCCTACCTAGCGCCATTCGGGTCATAGCCTTATCTTAACGCTTACAAAATATTATAATCTTCATAGTACCACAACGAAAATCCCATATTCTGGCAAGTTTCTTGGCTCCTCACAGGCAATTACCTGGAGATTCATCTCACTTCCCGTTACAATATGCTTTCAATACATGACACTATTTTCTGCGAGCAAAGCCCAGAATGTTAGAGAGAGAAGATGTTTTCAGCAAAGCTTGTATATTTTGTTTCATACTGGACCTGGATGCCTAGTCCAATGATAAATTTCGTTTGATGTTGTTACGATGAAAGAGAGAGAGAGAGCATTTATCCTCATTATCAAACTCAAAATAGGAATTGTATTGTCACTGTGAGGATACTTTAAAGTTATCAGCAATGCCCGATTAAGAACTTTACTCGCTTAAGGCGATTAAGGGACAGATAGCGAACTTTCGCACAACGAAATTAGTAGGTCCCATTGAATTTCGTCTTGCCTCTCCCCCCTAAAGGTTTTCTCATCCATAAAGGACTGCAGTTCCGTCCTCGATTGGGCTTCTCCATCTAGCTCCGAAAT